TTACTGCGTGGATTTTCTTCTTTTCCTTTCCTTCCTCTTTTCGTTTTTCAAAACCAAGTCAAACTTGCATAGGAGGCCATTTAGAAGATAAATAAGAAAGAGTGCTTATAAAGAGCACTCGCTTGGTTGTCTCTGTAACCAAACCATGCTGCAGCCAGAAATTCCCAGTAAATTAAGGGAGCTGAGCCCAGCAGTGAGATTTGTGTCCTTTACAGCCTTTCCTGCCAGTCTGTGTAAATACGGCGATTGTTATGGCAGCGGCGCAGCGTTGCTAGCGAGCAAGGAAATATGCGGTGGTGGAAACACCAAGTGTGACATAACCGGGCTCTGTCAGCAATTCTGTGGAAAGGCTGGGGATTTCTGAGAAACTGTGGCATCCCACCCCCAGCCTGAAAAAATGCTGCTCAGGTCAGCCAGGAACTGCAGCTGGAACTGAGATGTTAGGAGGAAGCTTCTGAAAGACAGAAAAACTCAGATAGGAAAAAGAAATATGGGAATATACCATCTCTTGCACCAGGAATTTTCCAAACAATTTCTCAGAACATCAAAACATACTGCAAATTAAAAAATATATTTTTTACATGTACGCAGGACAGACCTGATCTAGCTTATTCTGTGTTTTAAAGCAAAGTTTAAGAGTCCTTACAAGTCCAAACATTCCATGGGGCACTTTAGAAACAGAACACAGTGAAGGGTTTGCATGCTTTATGCTTACAGCGTTTTGTTTGAAAAGGTAACAATATATATTTATATATATATATTTATGATACATTTAACTGCATGTCCTGTCTATGTCTGCAGTGAGGTGGCAGGAAGAGCAGCCCCTGTCAGTGTCTGTGCAAAGAAAGCGCAAATGTCTCCATCCAGGGTTTCTTCCACAGGGGTCCCTTTGTCACGGTGTCACTGGAGAGGAGCAGCCCCACCACAGATCAACAGATAAATCTTTCTGTGCACTTGCCACCATGCTTCCCATGGGATGCACACAGGGCCTGGGGGATGGAAACGTTCACATGAAGATGAGCCTGGCTGTGGTTTCAAGGAGCGTTAAGCTTTCTGCCCAGATATTTAAAAACCCATCCAGTCTGGGGGTGAATTTTAGCACCACTCTTTAGAAAAACCCGAGCTAATTCGTCCTTCAAACACTGGAGGCTGTTTCCAGGCATGGTTCCATTTCCCCCATCTCATCCCTTGCTCCACCTTTCTGGCACAGAGGGGCTGATTTTACAGGACCCGCGGTTTGGGACAGCGGGGCCAAGTTCCTGAAGCACAGCAGAGAGCGGCATTGCTCATCCTTCAGATCGTGTGTCAAGCCACTGCTCTGACACCGTCTCCTGAAGAAGTGCCAGGAAATGACAAAAGAATAAAAACAGGAAAGCCAAGAGGAAGTGATTTTTAAATCAATCTTCACTCTGAAGTTATATAATAGAGTGAAGTAGAAGCTTTTAGAGAAAGAGGAAAAAAAAAAAGGCCAAACTTTTTCCCTTTCCCTTTGTGTTGTATGAGCTAGGATGCCTTCAGCCTTCATTTGTTACTACCAAGGCGCCACATCACCAAACTTCATCTCCTTTAAGGCCTGCAAAGCCTTTCTTGGAGCCCTTTTCATACACAGATACCTCTATGATGTCTTTCCACAAGCGCTCGACCATGCAGTCCCATCACCCTGCCTTTCCCCCAGATATTTGCCTTTATTACTTACAATTTACAAGCTTCCAGTTCACACCCCAACACCATTTTCAACACAACTGAAACTCACCCTTTTTTATCGGTAAAATAATCCTTTGCAACGGATGGGAAATCTGCTGTAGCAGCACCTCTGCCAGCTCTGGCTGCTCCTGGCTGACCACAACCTCACTGGCGAGGAACAAGGTTGGTGTTAGTGACCCAAGCCCCAACGCTGTAAGGCTACTTGGTATAACGTTTTCTCTTGCTTTTCAATCGGTTAAACAGAAACTCTGATAACTCCAGAACAAGGAAAAAATTGACAAAGGAAAATAGATTTCATACAAAACAATACTTTAAGAGGAGAAGGTCAGTGCAGTCAGACCTGAACTTTGAACCAGATGCTCAGCCAGCAAAAAATATAAATTATACAAAGAAAACTTACATAAGAAAACACCATGAGAAAAAAAAACAACTACTCACTTCCACAAAATGATGCAACTTTAGACCGTTTTACGTTTTCAAAGCAGCTGGCTTGGGGGAGGATGCCAGAGATCCCCATGTACTTTGGGGGACATGCAGATCCTTGGGTGGTTCTGGGAGAATAGTAGTTTTGGGTTTTGTACAAAGGTACCACAAATCTGAACGCTGGGGTAGCACAGCTCTGTGACACTGAATAGAAACATGGGGAAAAAAGGAAATCTCCAGGTGCAGGAGTGGGCATAATGAGGGAGTCCCATCCACGAGCACCCCTGAACTCCCCAGAAGCCTCCGGGACTGACCTGGTGTCCTGGAGAAAGACAAAGACCAGGAGAAGGAGATGGTGTTTTGGAGGGACTTTTTGTAAAGGCTGAGCTTCATTTTCTGTGTGAGAGCCTTCTTAGATGGTTGGACGCCATTTCCATGGGAATCTGAAAGTATGAAAGTCACAGTGTGAAATTCATCCAATGGCTTTTCCCTAGAAATGTGATAAAGGAGCAAATTAAGCTGGGAAAGATGAGACTTAATTCAATGTAGAACCATTGCAACTCACTTTGGGAATGAGGACTCCTTTCCATTTCTTCTGCTCCCAGTTTGACAGACGTGCTTTTCTCTAGGGTATAAAGAGTGAGAACTGCTAGGAGCACTACGCCTTCTTGCACAGAGCGTTCATTCCTTACTCACTTTAGCAGCATTGCTTTTTTTCTCTTTAAAATTATGATATGACTTACATCAGACATGTCTTGAATTGAGCAATTGCAGTATGTTAATCTGGTGCATACTAACTACTGAACTCATAACAAATACTGAACTGGGATGAAATCACCTTTGCATTCAGGCGCAGCTCTGCTCCAGACTCCGTTGGTTTTGTTTGTGTTCGTACAACGGATGCTCGCGTCCCCATGGAGCTGGAAGCCAGAATCACAGCTGTAGGTCACCGTTGAGTTATACACAAATTTTTCTACACCTTTGCCATCGTGCTTTCCGTGGGTAATTTGAGGAGGTGAAGAGCAGGTAATTACTGAGGGAAAGAAGGTCAACATGAGCATTGCAAAAACCATCAGTAATAAAATGCAAATTTGTCCTTAGGAGTTCACCTAAGATTCTTGAAGAAAATAGACTTTTTGGACAACTGGGGATGAGTAACCAGCTCAGCCTTCTGTCTGAATCATCTCCCTTTTCTTCTTCTGGTGTTCCTGTTGTCCTGACTTTCTCCCACTGACCCCAACAAAAACAGGCAACTTGTCCTGCCGTGGCTTGTGATTCCTAAAATCCTTATCCCATCACCGTTACTGCTACTTTAAGTCATGGGAAAATACGCTGATCTCATGGGAACAGCAAAATGGGTATTGCTCAGCTGCAGTGTTGGTGACGGATTTGCCACATAGTATCAACAAAAACAATGTATGAAGATAGGTTCGGGATAGACATTAGCATGCAGGATCTACTGGGGAGAAGTCAAAAGTAAGGTTGGGTTAATCTTACATTCACAAGTTGGAAGTTTACTCCATTCAACATCATTTCCTTTAAGCTGACATTGGATGAAATTATTCCCAACTAATTTGTACCTAAGTGAAAACACATAGTAGAAGAAAAATTTCTGTAACTATCTAGAAACAGAAAATTTTTTTCCCCTGTTCCAGTATGATCAGTAGTGTAGAAAAGGCAGTGTTAAAGCAAGATACATGCTGGTGTGTCCTTCACCCTGCTCGCTGCCTGGATCCTCATTAATGTATTTTTGGGCTCTGGCTCCCTGCCGAGCACATCTCCCGTTGCAAGGACGGGAGAAGCCAGAGCTGGTGGCAGAGCATACAGCGAATGCCAGACTGAGGGCAGACCTGGATTGCCACATGGATGCATTGGGCTCGGATTTGCTGAATCCAGGACTACTTCTCCCTGCCTGCTTCCTGGTGGTGAATGGTGCTGGGGTTCAGGCTGCTGTCACCCACCTTCACAGAGCCACCTCCTGAGCACACACAGCCTCTCCAAAGGCCATGGCTCCCGACTGCTGCCCCCTAGTACATTGTGTTCTGACAGCACCAACACCTTCCCCCACCTCTGAATTACATCCTCCCATTTGAAGAAAGTCCTCATTTGGATATGATTGATAGTGTCTGATCTTGCCTAGATGGATAATTTTATCCCTCCACCCCGATGGGTGAACCCCAGAAGGGTGGGACATGCTGTCATCTCCCCAAAGTCCATCCTATGGGAATATCTGGAGGAAAAAAAAAAGCTCTGTTATGTTTGGAGCAGCTGCAGAGGCTGTCAGAACAAGTCAGACGATGCCAGCAAGCTCCTGTGAGGGAGGGAGGAACGCGAGATGGAGCTGCAAGGGCTGAATTTTGAGAGTCAGTGTACTACATATGTGCCCTGATTGAAAGCAGGCAGAAAGCGTGAGTCAGCTCAGCATCTGGCAGAAAGTGTACTTCATTGCAGTTATCTAGCTGAACGTAACTGAATTTTTAAGATTCAAACACCTCTTTTTATACAATGTATCTCAAATTGATCAAGCTTGTTTTGAAGTCTATAGTTATAAAATGATGGTACCAGCAGTCCTGTTGGGATAGATAACCTGGGGCAGTTAAGCTTCCTCTGGATGACACTTGAAGGAAAAAGCAACTATTCAGAGCCTGGGCTCTTTCCTACAGCTGTGTCCTATTCCTTCCCACCTGAAGCTGTAATTCAAGCTGGAAAAGCAGCTTCACGCTCTGCGCTTGGAGCAGCACCACAAGACCTATTTGTTGCACAACAGCAGCCCAGTACTGCTACTGGAATACAAAGTCCAGTCCCATGCAATGAACCGCAGGTTTGTATTCCAGTAGCAGCACTAGGCCTCGGGGCATTGCCCCTCAACTCACCCGTTCTCGCAGAACACGCTCACCCTCGCACCAAAGCGCAGGTCTGTCAGGACGCCCGTCCTGCCCCCAGGCAGCGCCGCTGGCTCCCCACAGGACCGCCCTGCAGAGGAGGGGGCCAGAGTCAGCAGAACAGGGATGGAGAAAGAAAAACGTCGAAATAAGAGGCAGACTTAGAGGGTTATACACAAAATTACCAAAGAGTTTTACTTCACATAAGTTGCAGCCGGGCTGGCAGGAGCCAGAATCAGCTGAAGGGGTGGATCCCATAAGGGCTCAGGGTGAGCATCTCACAGGAGGGCAGAGGAGAATATTTGCAGCGATATTGCATAGAATCATAGGCTCACAGAACTGTTTGAGTTGGAAGGGATCTTAAAGATCCGGTCCAACCCCCTGCCACGGGCAGAGACACCTCCCACCACACCAGGTTGATTTTCATCTCAACAGATTGGCAGTGAGTTACTCGACTGTGAAAAATGTATTCCTGCCACATCATCAGTCTTAACATTACACTGATTTCACCAAGAAACGTGTTTTGTCTTCATTTTGAAGTTCAACTCTAGAATTGCAACTTTGTGTGTCCTGTGCATATGCCATGTCCAGATCCAAATATATTTCCCTAACGTGAAAATCAAAACAAATCTGTTCATGCCAACAGAAAAAATTAATGAACACTATTGATACTTCTGCTGTTTATTCCTAAATCTGTATGTCAAGGAATATCCACCTAATTTTGTATTAAGCATGAAGCTGTTGGGATGATAACAACCTGTCTGCATTTCAGCCCATGGGTCAGGAGCCACTACCTGTCCTGCTCCCAGCTCCACGGCTGCTTTTTGGCAAGCGGAGTGGAGCAGAGCAGAGATACTCACTCATGCACAGTTCAGCAGCTTCCGACCACACCAGGTTTTCCAGGCAAGTGCTGGTAGGGGAGCTTTCCGATGTGTTCTCGTAGCCGGGACGGCAGACATACCTCACGTTGGTTCCAACAGGAAAGAAGTTAGTCCTCTCGTCCACCACAGACAGTGCAGCAAACCGCAACCGTGTCGGGGCCGTACAGCTCCCTGGCCATCAAGGAAAGGGGACCTGAAGGAGCAGCCACCAGGAAGCATGCAAAATAAACCTCAGCATCACAGAAACGCTCTTGCTATGGCGCTTTTGGAGAGCTCTTCACATTCATCGCAGCTGCTTCCATTTTCTCCACAGGCTGTTATCTGCTGAACGCGCAGGTGCAGATGCATTAAGTGTGCAGGCAAAGCTGCAAGCAGGGAATTGGCACCCACGTGCTTGTGCCACAGCCTCTGCATCCGGGGCTCTGACCGACCAAAACCCTTGACAACGGGCTTGGATCCCGCACCCACCACCAACCCTGGTGAGCGGCAGCCAAGGAAAGCGGGTTTGTCACCTGCGAGGAGGGACGGTGCCATTGCAGAGCAGCTGCTGTGAGGGACAGAAATTTAAAGCCAAAGCAGGAGCCAGGCAAGGAAGCCATGATCCTGGGAGAGAGAGGGGGTATTTACGGCCGCAGGGCTCGGGCAGCTTTGACCAGCGCGGGCCAGGCAGGCACTCCACCGTGTCCGACCTCCCGGGGATTTTGATGGCACCGTCGATGCAGGTGTACATCACCCTGGACCCAACTGGGAAGCTGCTGGCGCGCTCATCGCTGGATGGTCTGGAGTGGGTCATGGGAGGTGGGGACCCGCAGTCACCTGAGGCAGGAGGAGACCTCCTCGGGTGAGGACCCTGCTCCTGGCCCCTTCCCCAGCATCATGGGGAGTGTGGCTGGGGTGTCCCAGACTTCCCCTCTGGGCAAAGGCACTGGGCAGGGCTGCATCCGTGAGAGCATGGAGAAACTAGTCCCCAGGCTTGGGGATGGTAGCATCACCCCCACTGTAGCACCTGAGCAGCACAGTGGGATCCAGGCAGGTGTCACTGGTCCTTCCTATGCATCCCACACCCCGGTACTTACCGTGAGCCACAGGAATTCCATGGAGCCCCAGCAAGGCCAGGAGTAGCACAGTGGGGGCAGAGCCCCGTGCCCTAGGGGATGCCCTGCAGCTCAGAGTGTCCGGGTGCTTCCCCCGTCCTGGCTCTCCAGACTTCATTGCAGCCATTTCTGTGCTGGTTTTCTGTGCATTTTTTTCTGTCGAGCATCATTGGCTCCGAGAGGCTGTTTCTGAAGCTGGGAGGAGATGCAGCGCAGCACTCAGCCAAGCCTCTGGAGCAGTGGAACCCTTTCCAGGACACCCAGGGAGCTGAACCCGGAGAGCAGTCAGGGGTGGGGGATGACTGTCATCCACTGGCTGGGGCAAAGCCTCCAGATCCTCCTGCCCCACCATTAGGGATGGGGGAATAAAGTCATCCCTTTTGTTTCACCTGAAACTGGCAGCATGTCTTGACTAGCACAGTTTTACCAGAATCAAATGCTACTAGAGCAGAGCAGACCCCCACACCCTGCCCCAGGCTGTATCCAGGGTAGGAAAATGCCTACTTAGTCATTGGCTGGCAGGTAACCCAGCACGGATTTTCCATAAGCAGAGTTAGTGAAATGAAACATAAAAGCATTTTCCTTTTTGTTTGTTATTATTTTCTTCATTGCCTGACTCATTTGTAATTAGGAACGGGTGGACTGAACACATCTGTGCACTGACTAACACTGAAATACCCCGTCTGACATCAGTCAGGGCTGCTCAAACGCTCTTAGATACAGGCAGGACGATGTAACACCCAGCTGTAATTCATGTTTACACGTTTCAAGTCCTGCACAGGGAGATAAGACACTATGTTTGCAGTCCCAGCAGAGCGAGGTGTCACACCAGGAGGGAGCAGCCCGGCTCTCCTGGTGGCACTGGGAGAAATGGAGCAGGTGTGAGAGTGGCCTTCATTGCCAATCTCCTCACTGGGACATGGTGAGACATTATCAAAGTATCTTGTGTAAAGATGGGAGACACCATCTCTTCCCTGGGCGTTGTGCTTTGGGCTCCAGTAACATTTAAAGCAACTCTAATAAAGTCATAAAAGCATGCATCTGGCAAGGATATAGTGCTGCAAATCGTATATGTTAGGAGAGGAGCGCTCCCCCGTCTCTCACCGAGCCCCAAGGCTGCCTGTTGTGCCATGCCATGCCACACTGTCACACTATGCCACACCACACCACACTGTGCTGCATCCACTGCAGCTTCCCAAGCACCTTGAGGAGTGACCCGGCTGCCAGGGCTCTGCTCCCAGTCAGAACAACCACTGGACCACACTGGAAATCTGCCCAATGCACAGCCGGTGTGACGGATCACAGGACACTCATGGCTACACCTGCACCTTTATTGCTATGCTGCAGAAGTACTCCACTGTCGAGTACAGCGCTGGGCCAGAAACCTGTCGCCAGTTTTAAATCCAGGGATAAGCAAATAGAAGCCTTTACAAATACACTTCTTCTACATAGCTGCCCTTAACTACATGAATAGAAATCATCAGGTAGATTAATGGGAAATCACACACTTAAATACTCACTTCACTACTATTTCTAGATAGAAGTAGTAAATTCTTCTTCCTAAAATAAAATGTGAAACAGCACTTTTGTTAAATAGCGAATCAAGCTTGTCAGATTTCAGGAAAAGAGCAAAAGTCCTTCTATGCTCTAGCATGACAAAAGCAGACATTGGTTATTATCTCTCTGGCTATATGTATGCACGTATGGCATGAGCCATAAAGTCACTGAGAGCCTTCTCATAGATAGTGACTACACAAACTGCACATTCACCAGAGGAAAGCTGATCGTTACAGGACTCACTTGGTCAAGTTTTCTAGTTCCACCTTTAGCTTTTTAATCTCCAGGAACAGTTTCTGTATTTCCAGCAGATTTTTAATTTCTTCTCTAGGCACACCACATTCAGAGACCATTTTAATGTAAAGAACCTCTTCGCATACATCAGCATCACCTTCTCTCTTCTGTTAAAAAGTAAAACAAAACACAGGAAGAAGCACATCAGCTTGCACAGATGGAGACCAAGACCCTCCCCAGCTCTGAGCCTGGACTGTCCCATTTGCCATGCACTACCCCAACACAGTCTGCATCCCCCATTGGTACCAAAAAGCAAAAGTTTAAGTGTTTTTTTCTCAGAAGTCAGACAGCATCCATCCACGAACCCAGCCAGACTATGGTACTTACACACTTGGGCAGCTGTGTCCAGGTGCCATCGGGCAAGCATGTGGCTGTCCAGGAGCCTTCTGAAGACATGACCCCATTGTCTGCAAATTCATATCCATGGAGGCATTCAAAAGTCACGGTTGCATTTGTTTGGTACCACGTTTCAGCATCAAAAGTGCTTTTCAGCCTTCCATTGAGCACTTGTGGTGGTGGACAAAGAACTGAAAGGGAAACCCACAGCAGAGGGTCATCGCTATGTAGGTAGTAAAAAACCTAAGAAATCTATGAAGACTGGGCCGGTGCAGGTGATCTGTGAAGCTGTGAAACCAAACATTAAAGCAAAATGTCTTCCCCAGGCCCTTCAAGAGGGGAGTGTGAAGGTCAGTAGAGCCCTGAGAGGGGTTACAGATTTGCTGTTTTCTGACAATGTCTCAATCCAAGGGGAGGATGAAATACTCTGCAGAGATCAACACTTGTCAGTAAGAAGCCCCAAGGGCAGGCACGGCAATGCAGAACTGCACACCAACCACTCCGTACCTCCCCAGTACCCACCTGGCTGGCAGGTCGGCAGCGGGGGGTGGCAGGCGGCGTCC